GGACCTCCTTCCCCTCCGTTCCTTTCCCTCCCCGGTTTACCGTGTGCGAACGTGCGATCGGGGTGATACGAGTGGCCGAGACGGTCGATACGTAGCGCGTCGCCCGTGTGCATCGCCCCCCGTGTGCACCGCCCTCCGTGTGCATCGCCCCCCGTGTGCACCGCCCCCCGTTCGGAGTGGGACGCGAACCGGGCTTCGACTCGGGTCCACGGCGTCACGTGCCGTCGTGCCGTGCCGGAACCTCTGCCCGCATCCTCGGTGGAAGCGACTTCGGGGCACCGTACCGTTCCATCCGGGTTTCATCGTCGAACACAGTGCACTTTCTTCGTGCTCCTTTCTTTCCTCCCCCGAGTGGGACGCTCGTGAACGCGTGTTCGTCGAATTCCTTTCGTTCTCTCCGCCGCATCCCTCGGCGAAAGTCATTCGTTTCTTCCCCATTTCCCATAATTACGGGTGAGAAAGAAAAGTCGCGTGGGCGTCGGAAAGAAATCGCGAGCACTCGGCCTTCGTATCGATTCGTACGGGATGAAACGAGACGACGGAATGCGAGAACGCACGGCCCTCGAAGGTATGCACCGTCTGCAGTTCTAATTTCGACAAGGAGCCTAGATTTCGATTAAATTCCTGACATAAGCTCCTGAAAGTGTGTCGTGGTAACGATTAGAGTTTGAGTCGAGTGAGATTGCTCTCGACCTCGCGACTCTCCGAGTGCCCCGATGGAAAGGGCAGGAGCATACCGGTGCATCGAACCTGCACTCTTTGAAATAACGAAAAAGGCCCCTCAGAACTCGATCACCGTTTCTTTTACTTTATTTAATTTTTTTAATGCTATAATTAAAAGAAAAACTAAGTACGTAGGCTAGCATAGAGACAAGAGAGATATAGCGTCTCACTTTCGTCTGAAGGCTGAAATGAAAGAATTTGTACACATACGTGCATGATGCATACTAAGGTTTCCGCTCGTCGGCTCGCACGCGACTCTTTTGACACGTTCATGGAGCTTAAAATCGGCCAAAATGTCGGGCATGGAAGACGCTCATTCCTCATTCTCTCTTCACTTTCGGGATCCTTCGTAACGCCTGTCTTCCGTACCGGCTGGAGAATTATAAATTTTTTAATCATAATAATGGGTCACCCCTAGGTATAGACGAGAGGCACGATTTCACATCCTCATCGTTCCTGCATCCATATTTTTCTTTCCCCAGACGGAGCTTTCTTTGGGATCCATGACGTGTTAAAAACATGAACGAAAAACTAAGTGGCAGTGGGTTCGTCGGAGACGATCGAGAGGGGGAAAAAATGAAGTACGATGGAATTTATGGGTGACGAGAGAACGAGACACGTGCAGACAGACTCAAGGGGAAAAAATTGGGAAGATGACGTCGACAAATCAGGGAATTTTCGGTGTGGACTGGGGAAGCATCGGCATCGTTGGATCCCAAATCACCAGGTACGTGCAATTAAAAACGCCGTCCGACTTAGAAATTGCAACAAGACGTTATCGAATTCGGTAGTGCGAGGAAAAGGTCGCCATGTGCAAACCCCTTATCTCCTGGATGAAATAAGGACCATTAGTCCCGTTAGCTCGTTGATTCCCTGTCGCTGTCCGATCGAGAAAGAAAATGAAGGGTTGGGGGGGGTTCTTGGCACGTTTCGTGCCCTGCGTTGCAGATTAGTAAGAGCGATGATTCGGCATTTTATGCCTATTAGTAGGAGATGCCGGACGCAGGCAACTGCGCGACGCGACTATCGTGACGCCGAAGGCGATCGGCACGACACCCGAAAGAAGCGGCGGCCGATGCCAGCTCGGCGATGCGAAGGAATCGTTTCGTCGGACGATCGATGGACCGAGCTAGAGGCGAACGATCGAACGAGTGAGATGTGCTTCGTCGAAGGGGTTCTGGACTCCCCAGAGAAAAGTCCTCCGGCCGAGATCCTCCACTCCGACCACGGGATTCCTCGAAGCGTTTGAAGTAGCAACCGATCGAGGAAGATGGAATGGATTTTTGGCATCGTCGGTCGAGGGGACGAGTACTCGCGGACACGGGGCAATCGCAGGGCAGCGACGTGCCGCTACGTGCTTGCATCGAGAGAGGAAAATCTCATCATTCGTAGGCAGTGGCGTAGCGAAGGGGGGGGGGGGGGGGGGGGGGGGGGGGGGGGGGGNTTAGTCATTTGGTCGGCATTCCTGGGGGCTTAGGTCAAGGATGGGGAGACTAAAGAAACAAAACTTAGTGTTAAAATGTACCTTCTTGAATTCGTGTGGAAACGGTGGAGTGGTGGTAGAGTAGTCGAAATGAAACGCATTGGTCATGAAATCAAGGGTTCGAATACGGACAAAGAAATTCGGCATCAGCGGAAGAGAGAAGAAAAAGAGTAATCGGCATTCCCGGAGAAGACGTCTGAGACAGGTTTCACAGTTCGGCGTTTATGGAAGGATAATGGGTGTCGGCGGTCGTGGAAGCGGCATTCCAAGTACTAACCCTATTTTTCCATCTCTCCATCCTCATGCACACGGCACACACGTCGCACGCACGGGAGACCCTCCAACGATGCGAATGCGAAAGAAAGCGAAGTTTGAGTTTTTTGCGATCGTCGTGCTCGACGATGGTATTTTCAGTCGGAGCGCGACGACGAGTTCACGGCGTGGTCGATTTCGTCGGTGGGGCAAAAATCGAGATCGCCGAAGCCGAAGTTCTCGCAACGACAGAGCTCGTCACGAGCGAGATACGAATAGGCGTATCTTACGGGTTTTACGCCGGGAACTTTCCCGATTCGGCGCCGTGACCGAGGACACGTTTTAACCGAGTTCCATTCACTCTCCTCTTTCCCCTCCGATCGGTCACTCGTCCGAACGCGAATCCCATGCGTCTCGAATTCGGTCCTAGATCTCCCTCAAGGAATGGTATCGAAGGCCTCGGCAAAGTCTAAATACTTTGGTGTCTCGGGCGTTCCCTTCGTCCATCGTATCCGTTTCTCAAGGATAAAATGCCAGCAGATCGGTGAGACGAAAACGGTGTCAAGAGACAGCCTTTCTCGCATTCCCGAACGAACGAGTTTCGTGTTTTCCGTCATCTTTTCCGGAATGCTCTCTCGACCGACCGAAACCGACCGAGACCATCCGAGACCGACCGGCCTGCGATTCTCCGGATTTCTCTCATTCCCCTTTTCAAGCCTTTTTAATTTTAAATTTTTTTTTTTTTTACACAGAATCGTTTTCTGTAAAATTTTCTATACTCTTTTTGCACAAAACCGTTCATAACGCCACCCGATACGCAGGTCAACCTCTAATTTCAATGGTTGATACGCGAAAATACGAGCTGGAATCAGACAGTCGATCGATCGCTTCGGTTAAATCTGTATGGTCGATGGACGAGTCGATCCCCAACTTCAGAAAGAACGGCTCATCCACGAAATATGCGTAAAATTATACATGGCAGGATGCCGGATCGGCGAAAGGGTTAAAGATCGAAGTGGTAAAGGACATTCTCGAATCTCGCCTTTAGCGCACGAGAAGCGATGCGATCGGATGCGATCCTCGAGTGGCGTATTTAGCGACTCGTAGCAGATTCTCGCACCGATCATTCCACCGTAAACTCGAGTGCGATCCTCCGTTTCGAGCCGATCGAACGACTCTTCGTCCTACCGAGTCCATCTCGGTGCAAAGTGCGGGATCTTCGAATTCGAATCTCTTCGTTCGCACATCTTTAAGGGCATCCGTATCGTCGAGCGTCCTCTTCTTTTTCCTATTCGATAGTCACGGAGAACGAGGAGGGACCGGTCCGAGTTACATAAGCCTCAAGTCAGACTCGAGTCCAAGAATGACAATTTTATAAGTTAGATCGTGAACGCATAAGATGAACTTTCCCCCCCCCCTCCCTCCTCCTTCCTCCCCCTCCCTTCAGCTTCAGGAAGACAAAACCTCGCCTTCATGCCTTCATAGACAAAATAAAAACGGGACAATGTTCAGGGTATGTCACGATCCACTTTATCGTATCAACAAGCAATTTTCTTTTACATACTACTGAAAGCAGATTGATGCTAATAGTATCGATGGATGGCTGATTATTTAGATCTTTTTTTTTTAACAACCGAGTCGGGAAATCTGAATTGCCACAAAATTTTACCCGAAACGGAAAAGAAAACCACGAGGAACCAGCAAAATCTTGCAAAAGTCTCTGAAATTTCGAGTAAATTACTTTGAAAAATAGGTCCCTTAACTATGCATTTAATAGTCAGTTAAGTCCTGATTTTCTTGTTCGGTTGAAAGGAAAAAAAGAAATAACTAACCATCCATCGATACTAATTGCGTCAACCCCCTGTCAATAATTGATAAAATATTGCTTTTTGAAATGGTAGAGCGAATTATGGAACACCCTGTAGATGCCAGTAGCTAGACAGTATATACTGTAGATGCGTTCCTCTAAAAACGTTTATCATTTGAGGGGCAGGCTTATCTAAAACGAACGCTGGAAATAGAGATGTCGTGTAAAACTCCACACGTGGAAAAAAAACAGACATTCTGCAATCGTGTTCGTGATGGCAAGGACATCGCTAAGGGAGGATTCCGGGTGAGCGACCGAGTTTCGCCAGATCTCAGATGCTCCGAATGCACGACACGTGGCAACAGTTCCACCGTATGGCGAGGGAACGAAACTAATCGCCCATGGAGTGCAGGTATGCTGTCGTGGGCGAACAGACCCCAGCGCTCACCCACACCCTACATAGAGTCGAACACCGAATTAATCAATAATGAAGGATATTTAAATGACGCATTCTGCCCCCGAAGGTCCAACGAGGCACTGACCGCCTCGGAAGTTCATGCTACGCTTATAAAATGATGGATGCAAAGATAGCAATAGGACACGCGAGGCTTTAAACGGTGGTATTTCATCCAAGAACATAAATCTCGAGAAAGCAGCAATGGTCTCGAGACCGCCACTTCGTAAATACGATTTGGAACGAGGTGTTCTACCTTTGCGATGCGACGGGAGCCTCACCTTGGGAGTCGACTTCCAGTTTGAAAGTCTGATGCATGGGTGGCGTCGTCGAAGCCGTCGACCACTCGCTCGAATGTGATGAATTACGTGGCTTTGCGAAGGGGGATCGGCAGAACGAGACCGCAGACACGCTCGCTGCTTCTGCAAACGACATCCATCGCCCCCATCCAATCAGCGGGAGTATCTGGGATAGTCCAGGTCCGTATTTTCCTGGAAGGCAAGCCGGAGGGCGTGTCCACGAGGTCGCTCCTGCAGATGGCTGCTACGTGGAAGTCTCTCGGTGAGGAAAGAAATGTTAAAAGAAATCGCATTCGTAATTACCGGTCGAATGGTCTGCGACGATCCTAATTTAGCGAGACGAAAGGCGGCTCGTGATGTTCTGTTCTGATTGCTTTTGATGAAAAATGAGGCACCGGAACGATCGTCGGTTGGACTCATCCGGCAGCGCGAGCCCACCTCGATCTCGTGACGCGGTACACTCGTCATTATTTTTCGCACGTGTCGAGAAAATGTTCAATTATGAACTCGAACTGGACGTCACGAAATGTTCCGATCGGGAATGCGGAACGGAAGCTCTCCCAGCCGCGTGGGAGAGCTTTTGGCTGTCGCGTGACGACAGTCGAGAGAGCTGAAGCAAAATCCAGAAATCTTTCCTCGCTGCAGAAAGTAGCCGAATCGAGCGAAAGAACTCGAACGCCTTTCGGGATGAATACGCCGACTCGCATCTCTCCGAATTCGATGGAATCACCACCACGAATCGTAATACTTATCGAAAAGCATCCCAGAACCTCACGGCCATTCGTTGAGTCTGGGCTCGTGTTTCTCGAGTGCGAACGTTCCTCATTCCGATCCCGACCTCACTCATCCACGAGACGGGCTCGTCGCATCGCCTCACTCAAAGTTCCAGGGAGATGCTCACACTCGCGACCTTACCCATAATGAAATCGACTGGAAGAATGGCCTATGGCCATTTCAGTACGGGTGGGTTGGCTCATCTATCTACCGAAAAGAAAATGTGCCATGCTTCGAGAACCGGACCCAGGAATCTTTTTCGAAATCAGACTGAAAATACTGTCGACTGGTAGAGTGCTTAGAAGACGGAGCAGCGAGAAAACCGTTTCGCTCAACTCGTGCCCAAAAGGGCACGGGGAATCAATACAGTGCTTTTGTTATGCAAATTTCGTCCATAAATTCGCTCCTAATGTAATTGTTATGAAGCAGAGGATCCACCCAGACATCGCCCATCAAAGTACAATCATCGCGATCAATTAGTAGCCTAATTACCACTGATGTCACTCCAGAATAATAATTAGAGGTTGATTAGCATATTGGATGATATGAGTATTTTCATGCGAAAAGAGCCTCGAACAAACAAGCAGAAAAGAATGCGGTGCCGAAAGGGAAAGGAAGGGGCGGACCCTCTGCCCCGCCCCCCTGAAACACGCCAGTTTTTTTATTATTTATTGGCCCGTCACTGGTCGAGGAGAAACTGATTTTTTTTTTCCACCTATAGCTGGTAGTGGTAGACCCATCTCGGCGCGAAGGTCATGCATTCCTCGAATATGTTTTTAGTATTTAGCTGCGCCACGCGATTCTGCCTCAAGCGTCCTCCACGTGAGGCCACCTAAGCCTTCAAGGTTCCACGCGTCCGATTTAATCGAGACTCGCTTACCCCTAGGGCAGTTTCCAGCGTCATGCCATCGCTATTTGGAAAGCCTTTTGGGAAAAAAAAAATTATCCGTAGTTCACCGAATTTAAAAAAAAAAAAAATAGATGCGCCTTTACGTTCGACTTCGACGCGGTATGTGAAGACGAGGAAATCTGTTTTCCGTAGAATTCTAGTCATGCATGACACGCAATGTCCATGAGACCCATTTCCTCTTCCATCATTTTGATGCACCTGGGGTGACACCCTTTGGACGCGAGGAGAATCCACGAGAAATCCTGCATCTGCGCCGTGAGCAACTTCTCATGCTCGATTCAATCATTCGATCGAACACGCGGATGCTCGTGAAATTTTACTGCCCCACGCTCTCGTCCGCCGTCCTCGTTCCCGCAAAAACTGGTCGGAATCAGTGGTGATGATCCGAAGATGGAAGCGTTTAGAGATGCCTGGGGATAAAAGAGTCGGCTTTGCAGATGACGGAGTGAGGAGGGGTGGATTAAGGGGAGGATCGAGAGGATCGAGTGGAAGAGTTCCCTCGTGTTCCCCTCAATCCCGACAAGGCTTGCCTCGCACTTCTCACATACTTCTCTTCGAGTAGACAGCCGATCCGTCTCGACTAAGGAATAGATTTTCCTTCCAATCATGGCATGTTCAGTGGATGAATAATACCTATTATGCGATGAGAGTGCATGTATACGGTATTAGATTGATGATACTACTGTACTGTCATCATACAAAGGGATCCCTCCGGAGATCCAAGAAAGGATCCCCAGGTGGAATGATAGTACTTAATACTCTATCGAGTACCAACATCCCGCTGAGATCGTAATTCCTTTACGGGATCAATATCTCGAGTGACGCATCTCACTCAGTCCGGCAGAGGATATTCATGTCCAGTGTAATCCCAAAATTATCTCAGTTTAGGAGAAGCTAGACGTATCCCTGCAGGCTACATTTTGGGCTCCATCCCTCTCGAAAGTGATATAAAATGTTCTATTCATGCAAGCACAATGTAGAGACTTCTCCTCGGACACCCTGGCCAGTGGTACTTGGAGTCTCCTTCTGCCGGGACGCCTCCTTAAATATCTAGGAATTCCAAAGCCTTCCTTTAAGATGTACGTGGGAAGAGATAGGATACTGTGTCAAAAAAAAAAGCATAGGGGACTCGTTTTAATGGCACCTGGGTGAGAATCGCTAAATCGGCGCTTAGGCGCCATCTCGCGTCGATTGGGATTGGTAGATTGGTAGATTCAATGTGACGATATTTTCATGTCTCTACATTTCAACCTTTTATTAATGTTGACACAAGGTTGTTGTTCCGAACGGGACGAGTCGTGGGTAGGGGGGGGGGAAGGGTTTTGGAGTTGAAATTTCGTGTCCCCCTCGGCATGGACCAGGCCCCTCAAGCAGACCCCAAGCATCCCCTCAAGCAGACCCCAAGCACCCCGTCGAGCAGACCCCAAGCATCCCTCTCTCACCCCATCATTCAGTGCTTGAGCATATCGCTGTCGTTTGTAGAGGACAGAAGCGCGTCTCGATGACCTAATATGATCGACGGGAGATCGCTTTTCGTCCCGAACGAAACCATGGGTGACATGCACCAGATCCGTTTAACTTTAAACCGATTCGTTTTCATAATGGGCGTCTATAGGAATACGTTTATTTTGGTCATATTGATTCCCATAGGGAACCATTGTGAAATCAGATTTAGTTGAGCTTAAACGGATTCGGTGCATGTCACCCCATATACGTTGTCCTGTACGTGGAAGAAGGAGGGGAGACGTAAAGGATTATCGTATGGGATCGTGCAGTACACGTAAATGGCATTCGTGCAACTCCCCTCAAACCGTCCGAGATGCTTCGTTTCGGGTTTACGGATTTAAAAAGCAGACCGTCCTCATCTTTCTCTCATTCCTTAGTTTTAGATACTTTTCGGTGAGCTCACGAATAAATTAAAGTCGACTAGGAGAATGCGTGATAAAAATGCCTCATACCTTTACATCTCGAGTCGAGATTTGAGGGACGAAAAGCGAATCCCGGTGAAATTCTATGGTGGGACCGATGGAGTCCAGTCCCATCGAGGATTTCTACGATCCGTGGACCTTCACCTTCCGGGTCCGCGCGATGCGTCACGCGATTCCCAATATCGGTCACGAAATCGTTTTACCCGATTCTCATTTTCTCAGGAGTGGCTCTGCGTGGGTTCCGTGTCGCGTTCGAGAACGAGAGAGACACGGAAGGAGCGAGGCCGTTTTCTCATCTCGTAAATCTTTAACGTCCGGGTTTTCCGGACTCTAATGGCCTCGTTCGTTTCTATGGCGGTCGGTTCACCTCCGTTTTCCTCTAAGAAGCGATGTGGTCACATCGCGAATGGGGTCGAGGGACGTGGGGATGCCTGGTCTTTGCGTTTCGTGTCGTGGCCATGGGCCAAAATATTGCATAACGTGAACCTTGGAATGGTCGAATTGGGGCATTTACGTCGCCCACATCGGTATTCTTGTTATTATGTGTCCGAAATACCGTATATGGTTTATTTTTTTCTGAGTTCAGATAATAGAAAGAATGATTTTTTTTTACAGCCTCTTTAGAAAGTTTGAATTTTTTTCCTTCAAATAAGTCTTTCCGAGATTTTTTTCCTTTCCCCCCTCTTTTTGTTACCTTCTCTTCCCGACTCGGAATCGGCTTAGAAAGTCCCTCCACTCGTTCCTCACGTTGATGATTTGCCAACGGATAAGACGAGTCATGGAGTCGATCGGAAGACGCAATAGAGAGATGGCGCCAGTGCATATGCGGTCGAGGCCACCCGCGTCGTTTCTGCGTCGCGGACGTTCGGCGTGGCCAGATCGAACACCGATTTTCGGTCGCTTCCTGCGGCAGCTCGCGTCGATCCGGGGCCGAAAAGCACCGAAAGCGTTTTTAAGATGCTCGGAGACTCGCACGACCGTCGGCTGCCGTCAAAGTCACGTGGAACTCCACGGGAATCGGGACACGCCCGAAGAGGGCCGAAGCACTCCGAAATGACTTTGAAAGCGATGGAAAGTGCGACGAGCGAGGACGTCCCCCATCGCCTTCCGTCCGTCGAATGCCATTCGTATGTAGAATCGAAACTTTCACGTTTTCTAAGGGCTACTCGGAGAGATTCGCCGGGGAGTAGAGGAGAGAAAGGATGGCAGATTACCCCACAAGTAATCTGAATTGCGCAACATCATATTTCCTCACTCTTGGCCGTCGCCCGTCGAGTGCAAGGTCGTAGCCTCGGGGGTCGACGAGACGAGCCCAAAGGTGGCCCAGGGGTGGCTCGGGGGAGCCCCTCGATCCTTTCGAGGACGAAGCTCCCACGGCGGGAGCAAGCCTGGGAGAGGTTCGTAAATCCGTATTCGTTCGCGATCGATAAATCTGTCGGGTACTCGCACGGAATTTGCCCTTGAAGTACCGGAACGATCCGCATCGATACCTTCGTCGCTACAAAACTTCTCGATCGTCGGTCGTTACGGATT